AGTTTCAGTGACTGAATTTATTAAGTCGTTAGGTTTGCATGTGGATGTGTATATTTTGCTATTCTCCTCTGGGTTATAGTAAAAGGAGATCTTGAGGGAGAAAAAAAAAAAAGAGAGATCTTTATTTACTGGCAATTTTGAGAGTGTTTGCAGGGAAATGGTAAGCAACACACAGAAGTGTCCCAGTCCAGGGGAGCGCTGAGCGAGCAGCTGGGTTTGAATACAGCAGCTGGTGACAGTCTTCTGCTGGCTTCCTGGCTGTCCCTGAGCATTGCACGTGGAAACCTCTCCCCATTTCTGCCATGGTCTGGGGACACCAGGGGCTTCTGTGCCCCTCAGAGCTTGGTCTTAACCAACAAGGGAGCAAATAGCTCGCTCTCCTGGTCAGTATCCAGGAGCACCATGCTGTTGCTTATGGTGGGACTCTTTCTGTGCACTCCCCAGCTGAGGATGATGAGGGTGCCAGTGGAGAGTCCAGTCAAACTCAAGGCTGGGTTAGATTTCCCTGACCATGGCAGCTGAAAGCTGAGGTAGATTAGAAAAAAAAAAAAAATCCATCCTCTCACAAAATCCCCCCCTGGCTTGTGCTGCGGGGTGGGAGGGGGGCAGATGGGGCCAGACATTCCCAGCACCTCCCTGGAGGACCAGGCTGGCCAAGGTGATACAGAGATTGGCTTGTGCCTGCAAGTCCTGTCCACGTTTCCATCTACAGATGGCAGGACATGAAGCTGGGGTCAAGGATAAATGAAACATCTTGTTTTTCTAAACAAGAAGTAGCTTTTGGGGCAATCTGTGGTACCTTGTACCCCCCCTGAGCGGGTCTGACACCCTGAATCCCCCCAGATGTCAGCTGCATCCTTTTAGCTCCCTTCTTTGATTCTGAGTTCCGTTGAATGTGGTCCCCCTAATTTTCTGTGTGATAGCTAGAATTTCGTTTTTTCCTAGACTGTGCAATTCCCAATAAAACTAGAGTTAGCACAAACCAAACCTATGTTTGTTTTTCAAAGCAAATCTAATTACTCTTCTTACTGGAATTGTTCAAAGGATTGGATTGAGATGCAGAGAACAAGTTGCAGGCAGATACTAATCAGTTTGCACGTAAATTACTAACATTTCTTTTACAAATATTTCGTGCAGGTTTTTAGTTTAACAATTAAAGATTTGCTTTTTCAAACTGGTTTCACTAATATCTGTAGACATTTAACAAAATGCCTCAGGCTCTAAATCTCCAAATAGGAAACAAATAAATATTTTTTTTTAATTGTATGCAAAAATAATTTAGTCGAAGACATATATTTCACAGGAAAATAAAAATAGACAAACGTTTTTTCTCTCCACATCACAAGAATGCTCTTTAATGAGGAGAACTGGTGGGTTTCCTGAGTGAGCTGAGTTCATGATGGTACTGACAGGGAACTCAGAGCTCTGTGGAGTTTGTACAGAAAATAGTGTCACAATTTATTTATTTGTTTAAAGACTGAAAAAGAAAAAAAAAAAACAAAATGGTGATTAAAAGATGACGCCATCTGTCTTCTCACTGTCTTGTACCTGGTCATGCCACTTCTATCAAGGAGAAAATAGGGAAAATAGTTGAGTGGGGTTCGTTATAAGCCTGTTTCAAAAGGTCCCTGCTCCAAGAGAGAGTGAGATGGGAGCTCCTGACCCCAGGGCTTACCATGCCATTGCCTCTGGAGGAGGATGTCCTTGCAGGAGAAAATTGGGAAAATAGTTGAGTGGGGTTTGTTATAAGCCTGTGAGTGAGATGGGAGCTCCTGACCCCAGGGCTTACCATGCCATTGCCTCTGGAGGAGGATGTCCTTGCATCCCATCAGAAGCACGTGGGGGACACAGCCTGGGGATCCCTGTGCTGGTTTTACCCACTCTGTGTGTGTGGGGGATGAAGAGAAAGCATTGGACTCCAGCTTTGCTCATCCAGCATTTTTCATAAGCACTGGATTCATCTTAAAAACCAAACCAACCAAACAAAAAAAGCTTGTGTGCCCCAGAGGTCTGGCCAATAGCTCAGTGATCTTCCAGAAATGCCTTCAGTTATCTCAGATTTTGGTCTGTGCAGCAGTGGCCGCAAGAACTGCTTGATTAGTGTGCAGCCCGTTAAGCTTACCTGCACTTTCTTCTATCTTCCCGGCTCTTTGTATTCTAAGACAGCTGAAACAGCAGTTCCCACCACATTCGACATAATTGCCACAATTAATCTTGACAGTAAAGCTTGTAGACAGGTTCTGCCATTAATATCTCAAGAGCCTTTTGTTATTGGTAGTCCCAAAGCCACCAGCAAGAGGCATGTGTGGAAACTGAGGGACGCGATGGAGCTGAAGGCTTGACGTTGGCCACCAAGGAGATACCAAGGAAGCAAAACATAAGGGTTTGCGCGTTAAATAGCTTTAGAGGACACTCCAGATATCCTCAAGTGGTGCTTGGGAGAGTGGCCCATGTCCTGCTTCTCTGTCCCATCTCCTTTCTGGTCAATGGGTTCTTCCTTCTCCACCTGCTTGTTCTTTGTGTCATGTCTGCACATGGTGGTGCCCGTACCAAAGGTTTCTGGAGCTCAAACCTGTGAAGAGCCTGCGGCACGTCCCATTTGGTGGCAGGATGAATCGCGTCCCGGTCTGTGCTTGTCCCTTGGTGGCACAATGGGACACTGGCTGTGGATGAAGAGGTGATATACATCAGGAGGAGGATAATAATAATAATGATAAAACCAGCATTATTTAACTAGAACTTAGCTGTCAAATCTGTGGGTTTTCTAAACTGCTGAATGGATGGAGCTGGGATGTCTCTTGGCGGTGTGGCCGTGGTTAGTGTCCTGAAGTGCTGGTTCAGCTGAATTGTGGGCACTGAGGAATCAACCAGCCATCTCACAAAAACAATGGGGCAGTTTTGTCTGCTTGTGCAGGAGCTTAAACATGGAAAGGAAATAACTATTTTTTCTTTATTTTTCTTAAATCTTCATTAGGCTGATGTTTTTCGATACATTTGCTTCAAAATAATAGAATAATTTTGCTGCTTTGTTGGTACAAGTGGATGTACAGTATGGCATCTGCTTTTATGAAAACTTTATTTTCAGTAACTTAAACAAAATCTAGATTTTTTTTTTCCTTTCTGAAATGACATTTTCAAAATGCACTAGCTTTTATATTTCTTCTTCACCGAAAGTAAAAAATAGTCTTTTTTCCCCACGCTGAAATTAAAACAGACGTTGAGGATGCGGATATCTCACGCACAGTAAATTCCATGGTTTTGGTCAAGTTGGTAGCTATCCTTCACAGCCTGCCAACTTTTCCATCCCTCTAAACGGCATTTTCTTGATAAGTTTTTATTAATGGGGTAACCAAGGCATGGGAAAGGGGATTGAGTTGTCCAGTTTGGATTTAGAGTCGCTCTCCATCGTGAGCTTTGCTGCCTGGCTGAGCCCAGATCTCTCTTGTTTCACTCTCTTCCTAAAATACTTATTTCTCCACCAAGGGAGACTCCTTCAGACAGGGCAGGATGACCCGTTGGGCTGACAGTGGTTTTATCCGCGTGGTGTTAATGATTAATGCAAACTTCACGTGTGCAGCACAGCTCCGCACTTTCTCCTGCGCTTTATCTCCGTGGCTTCAAGCCTGCCTGGCTCCGCAGGTCTGTTGCACGTGGGATTTATTGTCAGACCAGCAACACTTTATATAACCCCCAGAGCGCTTGGGAATACACACCTGAGTGTTGCTGAACGGTCAAAATGTTCACTCTTAAATGAGGTCTGGAGGAAATGTGTGGCATTACTCCAGATGCTTTGCTCAGATGGTGGTGATGGGTTTTCCATTAGCAAGGGTGGAGGAGCTCCCAAGCACTTCTGAGTGGCCAGGGCTGGAGAGAGCATCGCTTGGCTGTAGCAGCACCAGCCTTCCCTCCCGGGGCTCTGAGATACCTTGTCTAGGTCCTAGAAAAAAAAGGGATTTTTTTTTTTTCTTGGTGAAAAGAATTTTTCTTGAGAAAATGCATATTCCTTGTAGTTTGAGCTCTTTTTGCAAGAATGTCATAGTTTGATGGAAACTAGTGGGATAATTTGTTTGGCCAGGATGAATTTTCTGCCCAGAATCAAAGTCTGGGGAAAAAAAAACCAACCCACCAACAGTTGTGTCTGACTCAGTGGAGGTCTGGGAGCCCACTGCCACAGAGTCCCCTGGCCAGCCAGCTCTTTTAAAAAAGGTTTGATATTTTGCTGTTGTTAAAAGCCTTGAAAAGTTGCTGGGATGTGACAGATTTTGGTCCATAGCTGAGTGTAGTTTCCTCCTTGAGACTTTCAGACTTTTCTGGGGATGCTTCGGCCAGACCCACGTGTCCTCTGCTCCTGGGCAGGTGTGGGACCATCTAAAGAAATACTTGCGTCACAAATATTTAAAATTAATTCTTTCTTTTTATTGAAAGATTTCCAGGCTTTGTGCCAGCACTTCCTCTTGTTGCTTTTGGAAATAAAATAGTTTACCTGCGTTTGTACTCCCGTTTCTCCGAATCCACTCTAATGCCTCTGATAAACTGCCTTTTGCCCATAAGAATTTGAAGAAACCTCAATGTTTTCGACAATGCCCATTGCACATTTCTCTTCCATCGCAGGGAAGGTGGGAGCAAAGCCAGGCAAAGGCACTGGGAGCAGCAGCTGAGCAGCAAGCCTGTCTCTTTGCTCCTCAGCTCTTTTTTTTTTTTTTCTTTTTGCTCAGTATTTCAGCCTCAATCCTGGCAAATTCCTGATTTTTCCTGCATTTTTCATGCCCATTCGCTGTAGGCTGTTTTGCAAACCATAGCTGTGCCAGGGAAGGAGAGCCTTGCCTTGTGGGGAGTTTTCTAGGTGTGTGGTCTCGCTGGGAGCTGGGGTTGCTGATGCCTGTTGTTTTCTGTCGTTAAGCTCGCTGCAATGCGTGACTGTCGTGTATCGCTCAGTGATGCCTCATTTAGGAGATCGGCGATTAATTCCTTCCCTTGCTTTTTCTTCTCTCTCACTGCAGGATGTTTTCACGCCAGAGTGCAAATTTAAGGAATCTGTCTTTGAAAACTACTACGTTATTTATTCTTCCACGCTGTACCGGCAGCAAGAATCCGGCCGAGCGTGGTTCCTGGGACTCAATAAAGAAGGTCAAATTATGAAGGGAAACCGAGTGAAAAAAACCAAGCCCTCATCACATTTTGTACCCAAACCCATTGAAGGTATGGAATCGGCCCGCTGCCTCCATCAGTGGGGTGTGGGGATGGGGGAGTTTGCAACTGCAGATTTGGGGGGGTCCTGGGTGGGGGTGTTGGGCTGCAAGAGCAGAAAGGAAGGAGAATATTTGTAACATCTCAGAAAAATGCACTGTCAGCATTTCATTTTATTTCTTTCCTTTATTATAAACTTTGCATGCTGTCCCAAAGGGGTTCCTCAGCTTTGGGGTGCTAAAGGATGAATTTGAAAGCCCAGCAACATGAGAAGTTTCTGGGAAAGGAAAGCAGCCCTTGAGCGGGCAACGGTTCAAAAGGAATCTGATCCAGCAATGACCGTAATGTTGGGTTCTCTGTGAGAATTCTCCCAACATCATTCAGTTGGTTTCCAGTCCCATGTAGAGTCCGTAGAGACAGGATTTCTCTCACCTGATTTGAGACTTTGATGCACTATTTGTAGTCAGGGAAGAGAAATGGGTCCTACCAGCACAGCTGTGCATGTACTTTATACATCTACCCTAAGATGACTTAAATCTGTGTTTTCTCATATGTAAAGACATCCTGGTTAGTCACTGGCGGGTAGAGAAACCTGGTCATAGATGTCCAAAGTTAGATGAGATGCTGTCACTCCATGTGTTGGCATCACAGTGTGAGGCTCCAGTGAAAGTCATGGAGCTGAAGTTCTGCGCTCCTGCTGCAGGCTCGTGCCAGGGCATTTTGCTTTTTAGGGGCTGGCCCCTGGTAAATGGAGAGATGCAGGGTGATGGACCTGGTACTTAGCAGGTATTAACTTGATTCATAGAATCATAGACTCATTAAGATTGGAAAAGACCTCAAGGATCATCAAGTCCAACCGTCAACCCAACACCACCCAACCCACTAACCCATGTCCCTCAGCACCACATCTACACGTTTCTTGACCCCCTCCAGGGATTCTTCCCCCCCCCGAGGGACGGGCCCCCCCCCCCGCCCCGGGCCAGCCTGTTCCAATGCCTGAGCACTCTTGCAGTGAAGAAATTTTTCCTAATATCCAGCCTAGACCTCCCCTGGTGCAACTTGAGGCCGTTTCCTCTTGTCCTATCACTTGTTACTTTAGAGAAGAGTCGAAGGAGACCTCTTTCTTTGTGTTGCTTGGAAAAAGCACTACTTCTCCATCCCCAAAATAGGTACACCTTCCTGACCCCATCTTGGTCCTGCCCGTGGCCACCTCAGGGTCCCAGCAGCCTGGGGCTGTCCTCAGATGCACAGCTCTGTGCCCCCTCTCGCTGCCCCTATGCTGGCTGTGGGTCAGGGCTGCACACATGGGGAGGAGGGATGAACGGATGCTTACTGCTCAGGAGTGATGGAGGCTGTAGGCTAGGTCCATGCCCTAGGAGCTGTTTGAACAACTTGCCAGCTCCGGCGCAGGGGCAGGCGAGAGGCCAGTTTGGGAAGGCAGGCTGAAATCATTGGTTGGACCATGATGAGAGAAATTCAACTGCGCATCCCCAGAGAGTCTGTGGTCTTTGCACAGGAGATGGAGGAGCAGAGAACAGCCTGGAGCCTCTTGTCCTGTGCTTTCAACAGCTTTTCTGCAGCCGGGAGCCTTTTGTGTTTGTTTGAGGTGCCCTCAGCCCTCGCTGGGTTTTGCTAAGGAACAGGGCTTGCATCAGGCATGGGGTCGGTCACCAGCTTCTCTTCTGTCTCCTCCTCTCCTGCCTTGGCTGAGAGTCTTTAGCAAGCGCTGGCTTTCACAGCTGGCTTTCCAGCTCCTTCTGGTATTTCTTTGCTGCCTGGCAGGGTGCTGGCACTGATCAGTGGGTTCCTTTGAATCCTGGATTCTTCTTTGATGTAGCATGCGCGGTGCAGTGCTGAACGGCTCAGTAGCTGTCTTCTGCATGCATTAAACTAGGCCATTCTCCTGGCTCTCCCCACCGCAAGCCTTGCCTTAATAGAGGTGCTGACCCACAGCAGAGCTCTCAGTGCAGCGAATGCCGCGCTGGCTTTCATTTTGCAAAAACCCAGCCCAGCCCGAGAGCTTCCCTTTCCTGCAGTGGCATCCTCCCACGCTTGCTTCAATCACAACTGTCACATAACCTCCCGAGCGAGCGCTTTGGAAGTTGGCAGCCCCATGAAGGGCTCTTCCACCCCTTCCCTCCTCCACATGCTTTGCAGTCAGCCTCAGCGAGCGCTGCTGCATCAAAGGGCTGGCAGCCTCCCAAGCCCAGGCACGTGTCAGCTTCCCAAAGCCTTCAGCTGTCTGGGACTGTGACACCAGACGGAGGACTCTGTTCCCCAGCCTGAGATTCACTGTAGGGAGCAGAGGCTTGCAGGGAGGGCTGGAGTAAAATGTTCTCAGCTCCACGTGACTTCTCTGTGCTGCATCCATCAAAGTCTCCACGAACAGAGCTTGTGAGCAGAGATGTAGCAGGAAAGGGGCAATTCCTCCCCAGTTTTAATGGCTTCTTTCTCTTTATCATGACTCTAAGGAGGTATTTCAAGCCCTTCCCTGCTGTATTTGCGTGTCCCTTCTGCTCAGTGCTGTGGTGTGCTCCAGCACGTGGGCTTTGCTGCTTATTCAGGCCAGTGCTTTGCAGCTCCCGGCTGCAGCAATACACCCAGGCTTCCTTCTGCTCCAGTGCCCCCACCAGCACCAGCCCTGCCATGGGATGGGTGACACCGGGATGGATGCAAGGAGGAATCTGGTCCCCTGGGAGAAGGAGAGGTGTTGCATACGTTGCTAGGAATCACTTCACCCACCACTTCAATAGCAATTATCTCCAAGATGAAACTTCCCAGGTGTTTGCTGTGTGCAGAAAAAATTGTGCAGCAGCTTAGTGAAGAGAGGGTTCACAGGGAAAGGCAACACCAAAAAAAGCCCAAATTGCTCCCAGAGCTCATTTGACTCCCGTTCTGAATTCAGAAGTCCTCTCCTCAGAGATGCAAATGAGCAGTAAACTAACAAATATGAAATATCCTCCCAGGTAGTTTCTAAGGACAACATGTATGTACGTGTGCATGTATAAGCAGTGGTATCTGTGTACCTATGGGTGTTCTCTGTGGCTTCCAGCAGCTACGGCTCCATGCTGTGCTCATCCCCCAGCGTGTTTTGACTCCTGTCGTTTGTCAGGATGCTGGAGGTGTTCTGTGCAAAAGTCACTGGATAACAACTGTAAAAGTTTTGGGTTGTTGGTTAGTAGGAGGGTTTTTTTTAAATTTATTTAGTGTAGGTAGGATTTGTTTGGTTTTGGAAATAGCATTAAGCTTAATCAATATAAAAGCACAAAAAACTTATAAAAACAGGGGAAACATTCAGTTCCTCTCCCATCTGTGCACAGGCAAAGCCAAGGCGAACAGCCTGGCAGGCAGCAGCTCATGCACTGTGTGGTCCCAGTTTTGGTTAAAAACACATATACAAGACACATTTCTTTGGATATTTTTATTTCTGATCGCTGATCATTGGAGCTAAATGAGCTCTTAAAGTGCAGACATACAGACTGAACAAACACTGCCGTCCATGGCACCTCTTGTTCTTTAAATATCCAAACCCATCTCAAACAAGGGGAGACTCTTCCAGTCACTTCAGTGAGAATTTTATCAGATGCTTATTGTGGATGTCCTCTGTTATTTACGTTTCCCTTCTCCTTGGAGACACCATTTCCATATTACTCTCCCAAAAGAGCTACATTTCATCTCTCACCTGGCCCAGGTGACAAATCTGGCCACGGAAAGCAGAGGACAACGCTTCCTCCATCTGAGTCAGAGAGCTGCTCCTAACTCCGAACCCATGGTGCTTCAGCCCTCGTGATGTGATCACGTCTCAGATATGAAGGTGACCCATTAATTACTAGTCTGATCCATTTACTACCACAGATGAGTATCCGTGTGCGAGGAACAGCAGCCAGATCTTTCCCAGCGTGTTTTCCCAGGGATGCCACATCCCGGTTTTTTCTGAAGCAGAATTCTCAGATGCTGCAGAGAGAGGTACAAGACACTGTTGAGCAGGAAGATGTGGTAGGCCTAGTGAAAATGCTTCAAAGGGGTCATCTTAATCTACAAAACATCCCAAAAAAATGTTCTTTTAAAAAACAAACCCAAACCCCACCCTCTTTATCAGTCTTTGTGAACACAGCTCCTCTTTTGGGTCAGTCTTTCAAGTGGGCAATATTTGGGATGTTTTCAGTCCCACACTTAAATCACTTGTTCATCTGTCAAACTCCTGATCATCTTATTAGAAGGCTAAATGCAATGTATTTTAACCATGCTTTTGCTTGTCTTTTTGTCATCATGTCCTGCATTTCTTACCTGAACAAACTGGGATTCCATCTGGCAGCATCCTGCACATTTAGCCGCTAGACAGGGAGCTCAAACGCATCAGCTGGGACCAGGCTTAGAACACAGTCATTAGAGGCAGCAAACGAGGGTGCATACTCACCTGCTCCATCCTGCCCCTCGCTGCTGCTCAGTCAATTAATTCTCTCCACCGAAGCATGAGCTGATGCTGCTGCTGCTGCAGATCCCGACGCCCAGAGCTGTGGCATCCGTCAAGGGAAGGAGCCCATCTCTGGGCTGCCTGCCAGGGGACCTGTCCCCATCACTGCCCAGACCCCGGGCTGCCAGCAGGGCTGTTGTCATCCCGCAGGGCTAGCGACCTGCCTGCCTCCTAAATGGCAACTTGGAAAAAATCGGGTTCCTCCTAACTCTAGGGTGTGGGGCAGGGAAAGCCAGGAGGGAAGCTGGCTGGGGTATATCCAAGATCCTTTAATAAGCTTTTCCTCGTAGTTTGTTGCATCCCCTGAACCTCCTCAGCTTGCAGCGATGCCAAGCAAGAAGCAGTAGGAACAGGACACAGTATGGTGCGTGCTTCCAAACTCAGCCGGTCCCTGACGCCCAGGAAGCCACGCAGGGTGTTGCTGGTTTCCCTGGGTGGGTGGTGTGCCAGTGCCATGCCTGGGAAGCAGAAATGAGAAATGGGGCTGGGATCCTGTGCCAGCACACAGGTGAGAGATGGAGCTGTTCCTGGGTGACAGTCCCCTCCGTGCCTTCGGGAAGGATGCTCCCCGCTGCCTCCTTCCCCCTTGTGCCTCCAGTCTCATTCCTGTCTAGTTGGCAAGTTGTTTGTTTGCTCAGAATTGTTCCCTTGTCTGTGCAAACGGCAGGCACTGCTGGTTAGCAGGGAAGCAGGGAGTCAAAAGCTGCAAGAACCAGCCACGGGCACGGCTCCGCTGCTGCTCACCCCCTTCCATTGACGCCTGCGGCTCTACCGCGGATCCAGCTAACGGCGCTTTCCCATTAAAGCCTGGATATGGGTGTGTTGATTGGAATCTGGGACATAGGAGCTGGTTCTCTGATTGAAGCTCCAAAGCAGTAGCTGGGTTTCCAGACATACAGGCTGTGTTTGGCTGGGTGGGTGGGTGTGGGTGGGAGGGAGAAGCGAGGCAAAGCAGGGAGAGGAGTCTTGTTCCAGCCAAACTGCTCATCCTTCCAACGCTGCCTCGTGCTCTGGGCACCAGCAGACCTCCCGACTCTGGGCACGCTGCCTGTCGCACTGCTGCTGCTTTCCCTTGACGCAGGTGACAGGAGCAGTGTGTCTTCACCCCAAACAGACCTGTTGGTGGCTGCTGCTGCAAAGGATGTACAGAGATGTCCTTAAAAGCTGGGAGGATTTGGGAACTCACACCGGTCCATTTGCAAACGCCTCCCCCTCCCCGCTCCATGACTAACGTCTCTGCGCGTGAGTCACTCTCAAGCTTCCTCGGTACAAGGAGGAACAAGCTGCCCTCCCAAAGCCCGTGTGGCACAACATGTCACACTGTCCTTTAAACCCCACGCGTGCACAGCTGCGTGCATGGACAGCGGGTGTCTGTGTGCACACACCGGCGTGGCGTGATGCCCAGGGGTTTGCAGCCACTGCGGAGCGATGGCTGGAGCTCAGTGCAGACACACCTTCCACCAGCCCAGGTTGCCCAAAGCCTCATCCAGCCTGGCCTTGAACCCCTCCAGGGATGGGGCATCCACAGCTTCTCTGGGCACCCTGGGCCACTGCCTCACCACCCACACAGTGAAAAATTTCTTCCTGATATCTCCTCTAAATCTGCCCTCTTTCAGCTTATCCAGACACTATCTTGTGCCTGATGCCGTATCAATGCTGCATACACTGATGCTCTAGGCTTGTGCTATGCTGCTACAGGGTTCCTGGCACGGTCTGTTGGCACAGCCTGTCTCGTACAGATACTTTCCCAGCACAATGTGAGCAGCCTCCAGCCATGCCCTATGTCAGTCCTTGTATCATGCACTAGACTGGAAGATAAACTTATAATTTGTACTGCACGTGAGGCAGAACTTTGTGTGTGGAACATCAGGGGCACTGGGGCAACATGGGCACAAATACCCAGCTCTGCTGGTAAACATCACATCAGAGGATAATGTCGGTCACAGAAGTGCTGTGCATCCTCAGTGTCATCAAAAGGTTCTGTAGCTCAGGCTAAGAGATCACAAGGGCGCAGGTTTTTCTCAGCTGTTAGCCTTTTCCTACTGTTCTGTAAGATTTTTATCAGGTACCTTGCCCCAACAGGCAAATTCACCATCACCAGGTTGTGGAGGGACACCCGCCGAGGTGCGAGGGGCAGCTCAGCAGCAGGAAGGGGATGTCACAGCCCTTGTCCGCCTGTTGCCACCACACTACACGCTTTCTTTGGAGCACACAGCATTGATAGTCCTGGTATTGCTCATCCTGGCCCAGACCCATGGACAAAGTCATTGATTTTCTCTTTTTTTCTCATTTTAATTTAAAAAAAAATTGTTCCAGTAGCAATAACAGTTTGCAGAGCAGTAGCTTTCTTGCAGCCATGCTGGGAGACCCAGCTAGTGTGTGTGTTTAACCTGCTTGGAAAACCTTGCGTGAAAAGTGCTCTATGGGAAAAAGTCATATTTTTTCACTGCTCATATATTCAATGCAATATCCCCCGTATTAATACACCGTTGGCTGCACTTTATCTCTGTCCTGTATTGTTGCTATAACTGTTTCTCTAGCTAGGAGTAAAATGCAGAGCAATTGCCATTTGCAGCCTGCAAAATGCAGGATTTATTTGCAGATCAGGGGAGGTTATAAACATCAGCACTTCTGTCGCCTTTTATACGTGGGGTATTTTTTTTTTAATTTCTTCAGATAATTTTTGAAGTTTTGTTCTTGTTGATTACCCAGAAGCAAAACCTGATGGGCTCTATGCTGTGTTGGAGCGCTGTGCCATTTCTTTTGAAGTGGCACCTTTACAAAATGAAGCAGTACACAATCATTTCTTTCTGTCCTAATTTTTTGCAAAGATCCAGGGGTGACATTTGCAGCCTGGACTTACCTCAAGTTCTCAACTCCAGTGTGCCTGCCCTTGGGATGCCTCCCTGTTTCAATCCCATCCATGCCTCACCACATTTGTGATGAGCTCACCAGGGATGCTCCCTTTGGTGCGCGATGCTGAGCAGCTCAGCATGTGTCCCTGCTCTGGGACATGGCACAAGGACAGCCGTGAGGACTTGGTCCACGTGTTGGGTTGGATGAATGCGTTATGCTGCACAGAAGGTGGGATGTGCCATGTCACGTGCAGACGTTGCCTGCTCAGGCTGTCTAGGCTCCAGCAAGGACAGGTGTTGCTTAGCCAGGGTCTGGAGAGAAGGTGCTCTCCATCCACCCTGTCCCCAGGTGACCACGCAGAGCTGGGATGGCTCCTGGCTTGTCACTGAGCTTGTCCCCATGTGCCTGCTCATGGCCTCGGCTTTGGCTGTCTGTCTTGATTTACAGGGGAAAAATAACAAGTGCTTAGAGCAGACCTCAGCTCTTGGCCAGAGGAGCCACATGGGCTTGAGTCACCATCTCCAGATCCAGAGCTCAACACCCAGAAGGCTTGGATGGCGCAGATGCAAGCGTAGGTGTGATTCAAGGGTCTCAAGGGCTTCTTTTTAGAGGTTAAGGACTGGGGAGCAGGGAATTCTTGGACCTGGTATTAGATTATAATCAGCATCTCGAGGCAAAACATGATGCTGTGAACTGGAGTGTTTGTTTTGTATATATGAACATACCCTGAAAAAAACAGTAAAAAATGCAGGAAAAACGAGTAAGACTTACCTGTGAGAAATCCCCTGTTTCTGTCTGTGCCTTTGGAGGGATCCAGAGACAGGAGGAGGATGTGACAGGCAGCGAGGGCAGGTGACAGGACCTGCTGCTGGGTCACCGAGGCTTCTGCAAGCATGTGTGTTTGTATTGGGGCTGGAATTTCAGCCTCATAGACAAAGAAATAATTCATTCTGGTCCCTGATGTCTGTGGCTTCAGGGCTGTTAATGGGTGTCTTTTCTGTTTGCAGTGTGCATGTACAGAGAGCCATCGCTGCATGAAATTGGAGAAAAACAAGGACGCTCCAGAAAAAGTTCAGGGACGCCAACCATGAACGGAGGCAAAGTTGTTAACCAAGACTCGACATAGCTGATAAATACCCTCCCTTCTTCCAACTTCTCCCCTCCCACCCACCTACCCAAACCACACTGAGATGACGACAGCTGAGCAAGGCAGGACCTACCGGTAGTGGCTAGGAGTCTGAACTCCAGAATCTTTTCTTTGTGTAGGACGAGGAGATCGAACCCCAGATCCTGCCTGTTGCAACGTTTTAAAAAACAAACAAACAAACAAAAAGTGAAGAAAAAAAAATGTTTTAAATCAGGACTCCATTAACATTTTCAAAAGCAAACTGTTTGCTCTGTGATCAAAGGGGGAAAAAAAAAAATCTCATCTCTGCATAATAATAATGATAACAACTAATAAATATAATACTAATAATAAAGATGTTACCTTTAAAAATAAAACAAAGCTTTTGGAAAATTGAACTTAGCATATGATGTGTGAGAAACACAGCCTGGGACTGTGCTTTCTGTCTTGTACTTTCACCTCACGTTCACAGCACTGGTTTTTCCATCCCTGCTTCCCTGGGGGATGGATGGGATTTTTCACGAAGCAGGAAAGGTAGGGGATGGATTATGCCTGTGTTTGCTCTGCTATCAATAAAATATGGCCTGGCCGAACTGGGAGTCTGACAGTTACGGGCACCAAGCTAGCTGCTCTGTATTCGGCTTTTCCAGCGACATTCCGGCGCTGTGGAGTTATTTGTGGCTAGTGTCACTGTGTGAGTACGTTTGACCCAAGTCGGGCATTTTTTATGCCTTTTTATCATAATTATTTATATTTATAGGCTTGTGTTACTGTACTCGTTGCCGGGGGAATTTCGGAAACGGTTTTTCAGGTCTCGCAGGATGAAGTGATCGTATTTATTAGGGAAGAGTTAGAGGATAAAGGGAAGGAGGGATGGCTGCTTGCTTTAAAATATGAAACAGAGTGAGAAACACTCCTGAAATCCGTGCTGTCAGATGGAAACAATGAGGCATGTGCTCTGTGAGGGGGTGGCAGAGATTTCAGTGACAAGCAGACAGGTGTGGGGGGGGGAACACGGGGAAAGACAAGGAGAGGGTGATGGGGTGAGGGATGCTCAGGGAAAGGCAAGGAGAGGGTGATAGGGTGAGGGATGCTCAGGGAAAGGCAAGGAGAGGGTGATAGGGTGAGGGATGCTCAGGGAAAGGCAAGGAGGGGGTGATGGGGTGAGGGATGCTCAGGGAAACGCAAGGAGGGGGTGGTGGGGTGAGGGATGCTCAGGGAAAGGCAAGGAGAGGGTGATAGGGTGAGGGATGCTCAGTGCTGAGCCCACCTGCAGCAACTAGGGGCTTAGTGGGGAATTTGAAAGCCTCTCCCTCTCTGACATGTTCTTTCCTTCTAGTTTGGGGGTCAGCGGTGAACCACACACCCTCACTCCCATGGGTGGGGACTGAAACAGGGCAGTACAGGCAAGAGTCCCTGGAAATGCCACATTCAGGCCTAAAATGTCAAAATAATCCTTTGGTCCACTGTGTTTGAGCTAATTACCGTCATGCGACATTCCCTGAGCTGGCCCGTAATGAGGGCTAATTAATCCTGCTCACACCCCGGCTCTGCGCACCCTCGGAGCGGGTCTCCTGCCATGTGCTGGCTTCCTGGCTGCCTGCTTATTCCTGGCAAACCAGGAGCCACGTGTGGTGGCATCAGCCATGCTAGAGCCCTCCCATGCACATTAGGAAATACTGTTTGCTTCTTGACTGAAAAAAAAAAAAAAAAAAAAAAATCATCTTGTGGTGTAATGCAGGGACTCCTCACATCACACCAGCTCAAAAAAAAAAAAAAAACAAACCAAAAAAAAAACCAAAAAAACACAACAGCCTTCGCGCCCCTCCCCCCCCCTTCCCCCCGGCCCCAGCCTCTGACGGAGCTGCTGGGCTCTGGATACCCCAATGCTCTCTAGACGCATGGGATAGCTCAGGGATTATTTTTTTTTTCTTTTCTCTGTAGTCTTGCAATCTTTCTCCCAAGCCATCTTTCAAGGAGGTGCTGTGTCTTTTGTTGATTACCCAGCTTCCCAATTTGCAGGAAAAATGGGAGTCCACAGAGATTTTTTTTTTTTTTTTCCTGCTTTGGGGTTCTTAGAGCCCCTTCATCACTTGTCTCTCTGTTAGTGCTTAGTGTCGAAGTCCTGATGAATGACAGTTCTTTTGTTTCTTTAGCCACACATGCCACAACCGTTTAGTTTTTTTTTTTTTTTTCTTTTTGTCTCAATTTAACATTATAGTGACTACAACCCTTTTGTAGCCTACATGGGACACCAGCAGGACAAACTGGGCAAACATCTAGCACAGAAAATGGCCAAGAAATGCAAATGGTAAAAAAGAAAGATGTTTTCATCTCACCTAGCCTGTCGTGACTGTTAACTCTGCAGCAAACTTCTCCTGGCTGAATAACAGATGCTGCTGTGGAAGAACTCGGATGTTAGACATTGAGCAGCAGAAAGCATTTCACAGCACAGCAATATAGGTACATTTAACGCATTCATTTTGTTTCACCTCAGTTTGGGTTTTAATTGGGCTGTCGGCACTGTTCTGGCAGTACTTGCTGTGCAACACAGCTCCTCTCACCTTGGCATCAAGGGCAAAACCTGACAACGTGGCTCCAGTATGGACCATCAGGCATTTACCTGGAAAAAAAGAAAAAAAAAAAATCGGAAAAAAATGCCAGCATGACAAGCATGCCATACTGCGCCAGCAACTTATGCCACAAGTGTCAGCACTGGCAGGTGACAATGTGCTATGAAGTGAAGCTGACACTCAACAAAGCAGGTTATGAAAGTTGTCTGTCAACAACATTTTTTTTTGTTTGCGCTCAGCTAGGGTCTGGCTGACAGAGCCCCACGCAATCCTTCAAGCTTGTCACGGGCCTCACTTTGCACCTTTTCATCTGAAACTGCACTGACTGTGCACCAGGAGTGTTACCACCCAGGGAGACATCGTCGCCACGCTCTGAGCAAAGCTGAAACAAGGGTGGGGGGGAGCTCCCGGGGCTCATTGGAGCTGTCGGGAAACGATGTGTGCCAGCCATCCTGGTTTCATGCCAGCAAAGATGTATGGTAGACATGGAAAAAACAAAACAAAAAACAACCCAACCCCCCCCCCATATTTTTGAGGTCTGTAGTTCCTAAAAAAAATAAAATTAGAATTATCATTAGGTACAGCTAACAAAAACCAACCTTTTCTAATAGGCATAAGCTAAAATACACAGCTTTTAACATGGGGGGACGTTGGTCCCAAAACACATCCAACACTAGACCTCTGTTAACTGGTCCTACACGGCAGGGCTCGGTTTGTATGTCACTTTGCATCAAAGGGGAGGAGAAAAAAAAAAAAAGGGAAAAAGCAAAAGCGAGTGTCTTCAGGGCCAGATTCTTCTCCCAAAACTGGAACCAAATCTTTAGTTGCTGCTATGGGATGACCCACTAGAAGCACCTATGAGTAAAATCAAAAGAAATGTCACTGCACCTCCTCGGTGAAGCAGCGAGGTTTCCATGGCGTTCGCGTCTTCCCTCTCCCCCTGCCGATGCTTCAGCCTTCGGGGTGATTGAAAGCTGTTTCCATCAATTTCTCCATGGCCTTCTTAGACACCTTGATTAAGGACAAAAAAAAAAAAAAAAAAAAAAAAAATCCCATAGCCAGGCAGAGATAGTTTCAGTATCAAGTTTAAGCACATCAACATCTCAAACCTTTGTGGCCACGGAGTTAAAGCTAAGTAATTACCATTTCAGGACAGAGCATTTCTTTTCATGATGATACTTGCAGAACTACAACTGTTGCATGCACAGAAAGTTGGACATCTTCTCAGCCTGCCTCCCTTCTGGACTTGAGGCACCTTCTCTTTGGCAAAGGCTCTGGGTCAGTGTGGCTCCAGGGCTCGTTTTACCTCTGCAAACACTACGGAGCGTTACTACGGTGTGAGGAGCTCACGCAGGCTCCGGAGCATTCCCACCTGAGGCAACTAGAAAATCAGTATGGAAAGATTTGGCCTTTTATGGACTTTTGGAAAGGACAAGAACTCTGGTCAAACATCTGTTTGGAAAGAGAAAAACAAGGGAGGAGGGTTGTTTTATTCAAACCACACGCTAGTGCAGGCATGGGGATAATTAATCTTTGGGAAATGCCATTAATATTTACTGAGCAATACAAATGGAACTGGGCTCTCAAAAAAAAAAAAAAAAAGCATTACCAATTATTAAAAAAGTGTCTGGGTACAGGATCTGAGGAGAAGCAGAGGATAACCCTCCCAAGGGTCTATTAAGAATGGGTTATATATTGTTCCATTTTCCATGCTCATTACAATCACTGCCCCAATAATAGCTGCATGCTGTGCCTTTTTCTATTCTAGCACAATTTTCCCCATGGGAACTAAATATCTCAGTTTAAATACTGAGCAGAGCCGGTAGAAGAAGGCAGTGTGCTTCTGCTGTGCTAACCTTCTGTGTAATCTGCGTCTTAGGAACCTGGTTACTACCTTCTTTCTCATTGTTTGATACAAAAAACCAAGGGGCAGTACAGGGAAGAGTAAAATATTGGCCAGTCAAATGGAATGACCTTGTGAAGGTCTAAGTACATCAGACTGAACGTCTTTCAGAAATCAAGGCTTTGGTGAATTTTAATTCCTTGAGCTCTGAGAAAAATGGCAGGGAGCAAAGCAATCAGTGGCTCCAACAGCACCAGTCCCTGAACTACGACTTCAGGGACATTTAAGTCAAGCTCCTGGCTTGGCTCCTGCATGCAGGGATGCTTTCCTTTCTTGGGGGTCAGAGTTTTCCTGGGAGCTTGCCATTGCTGAGTCCTTGGAGCATCCCTGTCCCAACAAGGCAGAGCAGTTCCCGCTTGGGCAGCAGCGGGGTCCCGAGGACCCTGCTCAGGCGTTCAGCGATGGCCCAGCCCAGAGGGGGTACACACAGAGTCCTCCCCACGGCACCACACACTTCCTCCAGACACGCCAGGAAAGAGAAGAAAACAAGGCTTGGTGTCCTGGCCAATTCTGCTTCCAAGGACCCGGATTTGTGCAGACCCGTGGTGACAACCCCAAACAGAGGGACAGAGAGATGTCAGCTCTCCTGGTATGCTGCTCCCAGCCTGTGGCCATGGTGACAACCAGCCCTGCGTCAGGGATGTCATGAGGATCACAATGTTTTGGCTTGTGAGGTGGTCTGATCATATGATAACAGGACCCTGCAAAGGCAAAGAGCTTCTGATTCGACTGTGCCTCAGTGGGGTCA